ATACTGAGTAATAATAAATTAGTTGTGGTCTCAAAACCACTGATAACAATCAAACACGACCGATACACACAGTTAACAATAATAGAATCACCCGCGAGTGTAGATACATAAACAGAAGAACTCAAAGAATCATGGGATACGCCCAAATACGGGGCAAAATAAGATGACACATAAGAATAAATGGATCCTGGATCAAATAAGACCAATGCATCTCTATGACAGATAAGAACAATACCTGTGATAATAGAATCGGATGCATCTGCCTCTATCCTAACAGGAAAGGCATAATATTTGGCCCGGCCTCTCCCTCTAGGGCGACCTCTACCTGTCCGACCTCCACCTCTAGCTGGTTGTGCAAGTAGAGTGGCAACTGGAGCAGTAATCATGGCCTGAGAAGCATGAGGGCCGTGTGGAATAGGTAGGGCCTGCAAAATCTGTGGAGGTGAACCCCTCCTGAATCTGGGGCAATCCCTAAACATATGACGAGTGTCACCACACTCAAAACAAGCTCTCGGAGGACGTGGGTACTGTGAATGGCTCGGGCCTGATCGACTGGATTGACCGCTAGAAGTACTCCGTACAAGAGGTACACTAGACATTGGCGGTGCATAATAGGGATCTTGTGGACTAGGAATGGCCGAAGTACCGCTGGCGGCTAAAAATGCTGAATGAACAGGACGAGTCCCATAATCCCTACCCTGACGAGCTATAGATGGGGTACAAGAACTGTTATACATGCCAGAATCTCGGGGTCTCTTAGCTTTCCTCTCTTCTCTCTCCCGGATCAGTATACCCTCCAATCTCCCAGCAATAGACACCACCTACTGGTATGCGATGTCCATCTCCAACTCTCAGGCCATACTGAATCTGATACTAGGGTAGAGCCCCTCAATAAATCGGCGAACCCGCTATCGAACAATAGAAACCAAGGTTGGTACATGCCTAGCTAGATCACAGAATTGGACCGCATACTCTGACACGGTCATAGAACCCTGGCGCAACTGCTCAAACTCTGCGCGCCATGCATTCTAAGACTCTGAGGAACATACTCCCTCAAGAACATATCTGAAAATTGAGTCCAAGTGAATGAAGTTGCATCAACCGGACTATCCAACTCGTATACCTGCCACCAATGGTAGGCTGCTCCTATAAGCTGGAATGCTGTGAAAGAAAACCCATTGGAATCCACAATACCCATAGTACGGAGGATACAGTGACATTCCTCAAGAAAACCTTGAGCATCCTCTGAAGCTAAACCGCTGAAAGTGGGATGGTAGTACTTCTTGCACCTCTCGAGCCTGAGTTGCTCCCCCTCTGAAACTACTGCCCTAACCTCGAGCCGAACTAGGACAACTGGTTGCACTGGTATAACCTCTGGGGTATAGTCAACCTGGACCCGTGGCTCTAGGGTACGAGATGCGGGAGTTTGTGCTCCTCCCCCGACCTGAGATGTGACAAGAGCAAGTGGAATCAACCCTACCTGAGCTAGAGTGCCAAACATGCTCAGAAATTGGGCAAGAGTCTCCTGAAGTGCAGGGGTAGTAACAGGCTTCTCACGTGCTTGCTCTCCAATTGGAGCTACTAGTGGCTCTGTTGTAGTAGCTCGTGTAGGTGCTCTGGCTGCACCACGTAGTCTTCCTCGGCCTCTGCCCCGACCTCTTACGGCTCTAACAGGGAGCGTGGGTGTTTGATAATCGGATCCAGTTATGCGTGTCCTTACCATCTGTGAGAGAATAGAAATACAAGAGTTTAGAACTTCGAAGTCAACAATGTGCACGATAAGGAATAAAAAAAGTGAACATTTTCCTAATAATTCCATAGCCTCCCGAAGATAAATACAGACGTCTCTGTACCGATCCGCAAGACTCTACTAAACCTGCTTGTGACTCATAACACCTATGAACCTAAGGCTCTAATGCCAACTTGTCACGACCCCAATTCACCCTCCATAGGATGTCGTGATGGAACCTAATTTCTAAAACTAGGTAAGCCTAACAAATTGCAGAATATCATAATAAGAGTCTAAAACTCAAACCTCAATAACGGTAATAAATGGAAATTGCAAGTCAAAGAATTAAAATTTCCCAAAACTCGGTAGAAACAAGTCACAAGCTTCTAAGAGAAATACTAATTGTCTCTATACATCAAAGTCTACTAAAGTAAGGAAAACAACATGATAAGGATAGAGGGGGACTCTGAGGTCTGCGGGCGCTGGTAGATATACCTTGAAGTCTCCGCACACAAGTAGTCCCCTGATATCTGGGCTGGTAAGTAGTCTGCACAAAAAGATGTGCAGAAAAGTAGCATGAGTACACAACAACGATACCTAGTAAGTGCCAAGCCTTACCTCGATAGAGTAGTTACGAGGTCAAGTCATGCCCTATTGGAAATAATAGAAAAATATGACAGAGGATATAATAGTATAATGAAATGGCTTAAGAGAGAACAACACAGCAAAAAGAGGTAAACAACAGGGGCGTTCCTGAGATACCATCTCGTAGTTCCAAAAGTAAATGCTCAACAAGGAATCTCCCAAGATACCGTCTCGTAGTCCCAAAAGTAAAAATGCAAGGGAATCTCCTGAGGTACCGCCTCGTAGTCCCAAAAGTAAATATGCAGTCCAACTATACAAAAAATCCGAAATTTAACTCAAAAATCGCCCGTGGGGACCACGTCTCGAAACCCGACAAAAGTTATAAAATATGAACTCCCATTCAACCACGAGTCCAACCATATGAATTTTATCAAATTCCGACAGCAACTAGACCTCCAAATCTCAAATTCTTATTTTGAAAACCGTAGGCCCAAATCCTCTAATTTCACCTCAAAAACATGTAATCCAGTCGACATACTCAATGATAATCCAATATTATTGACTAACAATGATCACAAGTGACTTACCTCAAGTTTCCCATGAATTCTCTCTGAAAATCGCCTCAAAACCGTATTGGAAATGTCCAAAGATGAAAAAACTCGGAACCCTCTCTTTTTGTACACTGCCAAAGGTTCCGCTTCTGCGAAATTTTTAACCTCATCTGCGGTTCAGCTTTTGCTATAAATCTCCCGCTTCTGCGACAGCCTTCGCTTCTGCGGAGAAGGAGTCCGCTTCTGCGATAAAGCGTCCGCTTCTGCGGTCCAAGGCCCCCTTAGCCCAGGCCGCATATGCGACCATTGCATCGCTCTTGCAGTCGCGCTTCGGTGGACCATCCTCTTCTGCAATGCCAGGATCGCTTCTGTGAGCTCGCACCTGCGAGCCAAATTTTGCAGGTGCGATTGCATCAGTAGGCAATAGCAAGTTTCAATAGTTCTAAGTCCAAATTTGATTTGTTAACCATCCAAAACTCACCCGAGGCCCCCGGGACCTCAACCAAATATACCAACAAGTCCTAAAACATCATACGAACTTAGTCGAAGCCTCAAATCACATCAAACAACGCTAAAACTACGAATCATACCACATTTCAAGCTTAATGAACTTAAGAATTTCAACTTCTACATTCGATGCCGAAATCTATCAAATCAAGTCCGATTGACCTCAAATTTTGCACACAAGTAATAAATGACATAACTGACCTATTCAAATTTTCAGAATCGGATTCCGACCCCGATATCAAAAATTCAACTCCCCGGTCAAACTTCCAAACTCAAATTTCTATTTTTAGCCATTTCAAGCCTAATTTAACTACGGACCTCCAAGTATTTTTCGAACACGCTCCTAAGTCCAAAATCACCATGCAGAGCTATTGGAATCATCAAAATTCTATTTCGGGGTCGTTTACACATAGGTCGACATCCACCCAACCTTTTTAACTTAAGTTTTAAACTTTGGAACTAAGTGTTCCAATTCATTCCAAGACCTCACCGGACCCGAACCAATACTCCGGTAAGTCATATAACAGTTGTAAAGCATGAATTGAGCAGTAATTGGAGAAACAGAGTTGTAATACTCGAAGCGACCGGTCGAGTCGTTACAGGCCACGCCCACCTTGTTCCGAATAACTTCATTCCGAATCCTATCTAATCTGGTTTGCCCGCACAACCATCTCAACATCCTCATCTCTGCTACCTTCATCATTTGGACGTGAGAGCTCTTGACTGGCCAACACTCAATCCCATACAACATAGCTGGTCTGACCATCGCTCTATCAAACATACCTTTAAGTTTTGGTAGTACCTTCTTGTCATCCAAAACACCATAAGCAAGTCTCCATTTCATCCATCCCGCCCCAATACGATGTGTGATATCTTTACCAATCTCCCCATCCCATGTATAATAGATCCAAGGTACTTAAAACTCCACCTCCTAGGCATAAATTGTGAATCCAGCCTCACCTCCCCTTCCACTCCCTGAGTAGCACCACTAAACTTTTACACTCCAAGTATTCTGTCTTGGTTCTGCTCAGCTTGAAACCTTTAGACTACAGGGTCTGTCTCCACACCTCTAACCTCGCGTTAAGACCTTCTAGCGTCTTGTCAATCAAAACAATGTCGTCTGCAAATAACATGCACCACGACACCTCCCCTTGGATGTGGCGAGTCAATACGTCCTTCGCTAGGGCAAACCAAAAAGGCCTGAGTACCGACCCCTAATGCAACCCCATCATGACCGAAAAATGGCCCGAGACCCCTCCCACTGTCCTCACACAGGTCTTCGCTCCCTCATACATGTATTTAATTACCCTAATATAGGCCACATGTACCTCTCTAGCCTCCAAACATCTCTACCGAACCTACCTCGGTTCATTATAGATATTATTTTAACTATAAAAAAATTAGTGGAAAATAACATAAAACATCTGAAAAATAAGATATAAAATATTTATAAAGACAATTTCTTATATTCAAATCATAAATTGGTATGAGAGATCATTTTGTCCAAATTCCACGTGATCTGTAAGTAGAAGGCAAAATATTCGGATATTTTTAGTGGAGAGAGAGCTTCAAGTAACATCACAAAACTTCTACATATTTTACAATTATATTATTTTCTCAATTGCAAATATCTAAAAATTGACGAATAATACACTATTTCTCTGTTCCAAAACTACCTTTATTCAATACAGGTAGAGGAATAGAGAGAGAGAAACTGCGCGTGTGAGAGAGAAAGCGAAGATGTACGGATTCACGAGCTTGAGCACGGAAAATGAAGGGGGAATCAAAGGTGATATAGAGGAAGGAACCCTATATCCAGGTCTTGGATATGGCGAAAATCAGTTGCGTTGGGGTTTTATTCGTAAAGTCTACGGTATTCTCGCTGCTCAGATTCTCCTCACCATCGTCGTCTCCGCCATTACTGTCCTTTACGTGCCTATTAACGATCTCCTCCGTGGCAATTCTGGCCTTCTTCTCTTCCTCATTTTCCTTCCTTTCGTCCGTAAGTAACCCTAGATCTGTTCATTTTTCGGTTAAATTTATCTCTTTATTCATGATTTGTGTCTATTAGGTGCGATCGCCGATTCTTCTTCCGAATCGTTGACCTTTTAAAATACTTTCGACGCTATAATGACCTAAAATTTGGTGATTGCTTGTGTACTTTGTATTGTGGATAATTCATCGCTTTAGTACTTTGATTAAAGCGTATTTTACGATCTATAAGTCAGGTAAATTCTGTCTCCTTTTTTTATGCTATTACTAGAGCGAATTTTGGGATCCATCGTTTCACCATAAATTATGTCTTTGATTTATGCTTTGATTGGGAAAATTGTGCCATCTATTAGGTTATTTTGTTCAAGTTCATGTTCTATGCGTCCATGTTGTATAGTAGTGTAGGTATTTTAGCTCACCAGGTTAAACTGGCCTAAAATAGCATGTACTCTCTTTGTAGCAAGATCAATATAGTAACCTAAAAAATAAAGTAGTAACTTGTTAGTTATAACCAATTAAATTACGCCAATAGCATAAATTTTTACAATGTCGATATATATGTCACTTTTGATATTTTAAATCCCTCCAATTTCTGAATTGCGACTTTAAAGAATTCTCTTCACGGGTATGGGTTGTCCTGTCAAATGCAACATATCGGTGATTGTTTGTGTACATTGTATTTTGATAAAAAACTCATCTCATTTCTTTATGCTTATATAAAGAGTTTCGATCTACCAGGCTTTATTCGTATGGGTATAATTAGCATATAACTGTTGATATCTGATTTCCGAATTGGTACCCTTAGTCACTTAGATTACTCTTCTTCCTTATGGTGTCCAGTCAATGATGCAACCTGAAAGTTTGAGATTTCTTCCCATACTTTGTTTTGTGACTGCTGGCCAGTGTGAATTTCAATTTTGCAAGTAATTCCATTGCTGTTTTTATCTGCTTGCACAGATAGTGCATCCATTTGTTTCCTCCTTTCAGAACTGTCTTCGACTACATGTTATTGCTGAATAGAATTTAATTAGCTGAGGAAAGGGAGGAAACTTGAGGTTACAGTGGTTAGTTTGGTGTTAATAGTGTAGACAATCCTGTTTGGTTTCTTCGCATTTTGTACTTGATGTGCGATCTGATGCTGGATCTCACAATTAACAAATTTTCCAAAAGTTTATCAACCTGTCTGCATTTCCCTTCCCCTTTCTAGAGGCTAGACCAGTGATAGTTTGTATTTGTGCAGTGCTGTGGCCCTTGCATGTATATCAGCAAAAGCATCCGTTGAATTTTGTTTTCCTTGGCCTCTTCACTGCTTCTTTGAGTCTCACGGTTGGTGTAAGCTGCGCTAATACTGATGGTGAGTAGGTTCTCTACTTTATGAAGCTTCTATTTTTGGCATTTGTTTGGCCTTCTTCATACACATCTTGGATGATTTGCTCATACTCTGTGCGTTGAAATTACAGGAAAAATTGTCCTTGAAGCTTTGATCTTGACATCAGCTGTAGTTTCAGCTTTGACTGGATACACATTCTGGGCTTCTAGGAAGGGCAAGGACTTCAGCTATCTGGGTCCAATACTGTTTACTAGCCTCTTTGTACTTATCCTGACTGGTTTCATGCAGGTTGGTTTAACCTTTCCTTCTGCTCCTTAGCCTGGAAACCAATATGAGAAAATAGTAGTACTTTTTATATGACTTATTTGCAGTACTGACTTATGATACTTGCCCTGTGCAGATGTTCTTCCCTCTAGGATCCACAACTAATGCTCTTATCGGTGCAGTCAGTGCTATAATATTCTGTGGATACATTGTATATGACACAGACAACCTGATTAAGAGGTTCACATATGATGAGTACATCTGGGCATCCGTCACTTTGTACCTGGATATTCTGAACCTGTTCTTAACCATTCTGCGGATTCTGAGGCAGGGAGACAACTAGGTGCAGGGAGTGTCACCTGATGCGCATTTGTTTATTTAACAATTTTAAGAATTTTGCTTTGCTTTGTTTAAGAATTATGCAGATAGATTGTGCGTCTCTCTGCTCGTATATTACTTGTAAGTAGTGTTAAAGTTTCCAATGTTTTGATGGTGTCAAGTACAATTTCCGGAAGTTCAAAATAAAGTATCATTGATGTTGCACAATTTCTGGTCGACCTTGCAGAGCTCAAACATATCAGTATATTTTTTAACTGAGTATGCGGAAGGTTTCTACGCCTACTATAAAGTAGATATAGAGGTGCTGAATGCCCAAATTTTCAGCTTGTAGGATGTAGTTATCCTTATAAATCATCCTCGCATTGTACCCCCTTTAAACGTGTGAGCATAGCAGTGTCAGCTTACTTGAGGATCACTGTCTTCTTACACAATTACTGAAGCTCGATGCTCAGGTAATCTAGTTAGTGCTTCATCTTTAGGGGGTTGCGGGGTAACCATACGGGCTGGAAAAAAACCAAAAAAATAGTACAATGCTATTTAGAGGTAGATACCACTTGTCAGTTGTCATGAACCGTTAATGATATTTCTTACCCCCAAAGTGTGCAACGTTATATGATACAACTCGTATGTGGCTAGATTGCAGGAACTCGCTAGCAATTCAGCCTAGAAGGGAATATGATAAAACATCACAGGCAAAATAAATACAATTGCCATTGCATCTAGAACACGGTATTTCCACATCAATTATGGCATCTAATTAGAGGCAAAAAGGTTACTATAACATTAGAGCTCAATTTTCTTTTAAGCCAAAGGGGAAGATAACTACTGTGAGAAGGTCTATGCTAAGTTGCTAACCGATCTGTTTTAGCTTACTGATATAGTTTAGCTTTACGATAACTAAGGAACTAAGCCTCTAATCAAGGAAAAGCTCAACCATGGGGTATTCCACCAATTTTTTGCATCACAGGACACCGTAATGACAAGGCATCATTTCACATAAAAGTAAAAAAGGAAAAGGCAGAAGCACAACTCAAGAAAGTTGTGTATATGTAGGGACTTAGTAACGATGTTAGCAACTAAATATCAAACAAACCATTCACATAAATTGGCCTCAACAGCCACAATAAAGGAATTGCTCTAGGGCAGTTAAACAAGGATTCCGATACTAATGCAAATTCAGGGGAAAGGTACAGATCCAAAATAAAATATCATAACTGTAGGCGAATGCTGTTATGAGCACTAAGCTTATTAAATCCCAAACGTCTTAACTATATATTTCTCTAGCTGCACCAATGATAGGTAGAATTTGAGATTCAAAAGCATCAAGGCACTTGCAAGTTCACACCCATTAAAATAAAATAAAAAGGCACTTGTAAGTTCACATCTGATATCACATTCAGCAAATGCCATTTCAAGAAGGTGATCGAGAAAAACAAAGAAGGGAAAAGTGTCTTTCCAAAGATTGAGGTTCCAGATGCAGATCCAAGCACAATATGAATTTTCTGTTAACAGAGAGAATAGACCAAAGTAGCAGTTGGCGGATTCAGTTTCTTAAATTCAAAAAAATGAAAAATGATATATACATTATTCTTATAAAGCCATAAAAAACCACCACTGCTATATTCTACAATGCACACTTGGAAAGTAAACCATAATACTAGCTGAGAGCAAATAAACAACTTCAGAGGACAAGGAGCATTATCATGATTTAGCAGCGTCATCATCATCCTCAATATCCCATGACAGCTCTTCCTCCTCCTCAGCAGCAGTCAATCGCTTC